ACTGCGCAGGCTCGAAGGGTTAATGACCTTTCCCAAATCTTCGCTCGCAAAGACTGGCCATACATACATGGCAAACCAAACATGCACTTCACAGCAGTGTCCTCACACAGGAAAGAGGTTGCCTTTTATCATGACCTTTGACTACTGGACTTGAAATGACCTCTTCTGGACACATGTGGTTTGCTTCCTCTAGGATGAATGCTTCTCATCAAAAATAGGAGACCACACGGTGATAAAACAAGTACAGTGTGCAGTCTGCTCCCCAGGTTTTTAGCTACTGACAAATAAGTACCATGTACTTCCAGATTTCAGGGCGAAGACGTAAAGGAGGTAATCAGTAACAAATGAAATGTGTGTTGACAGGTGAAAGATGACAGTGTACATCTGTGTAGCGTTGGGTTAGGTGACAGAGCTCTGTTTCCCTAATGAAAAAGCTGTGGTGTTAGAGATCCAGCGTGGATATTTTTGCAAACTTTCTCTTTACGATTGATTGTGTCAGTGCAGGGTGGTCTATGCTTCTGCTAAATAAATGCCAGATGCCTGAATGTGAATCAGTTGTAATCAGAGGAGCTTTGTTTTCTTATTATCAGTGCACGGAAGGCTGACTGAGCCAGATGAATGCTCTCCCACCGGTAGTAAAGCTGATGAGCCAAGCCTTGTTCAGACAGTGATAAGATGTACTTACCTTGATAAATCTTCATTGTGTATTTTAGGATTTGTACTATGCCTTTATAATGATCTATAGAAGAATACTTACAGCTTACATGTCCGTCTACTTTCCAAATCCATCCCAAAGTCTGGAGGTCCAACCCAGCCTAACAGTGCTCTCTGAGATTTCTCTTCATACCTTCATCAGTGCCAGAGTGGGTGTGCCAACATTAAGCCAGCAGGGTTGTGATAGTGCTGCCTATCAAGAAGACCTGTTGCATGTCCACAGAGGACTGGGCTGCAGCTGCTCAGAACAGCATCTTTTTTTCCAGAGGGATGAGTGGAGCATTGTCACTCAGTCAGACCTACAATTTTGGACTGCATAGGCAGGCATCACTCTAGGTTATACTGAGAACACACTTTTAAGTGGTGGGTTTTTTGAGCTGGTTTGGAATTTTTTCCACTGTGAATACTGTCTTCAGATGTAGTTGCAAAGCTGCGTCCTTAGTGTTTGCTTACCTTCGGCTGTGGACTAAAAATACGTCCGGGCAGTCTGAAGCCAACTGCATTTCCTGGGATAACTGTCTGTTGTACTGAACGTTCAAGTTTCTCATACCATAGACATGGCATCAGCACATGCCAAATTGCAGGTGACTGTGTTTCTGATATCCCGTCTGACTTAATGTGAACTTTTAAGAAAGCAGTTTTTAAAGAACTGTTTTTGAGATCCAGACCTCTTCCCCTTCCTCTCCTGGTGCCTCTCCAAAAACCATCTGCTATGAGGCTTGTGTTTTGGCAGACAGCTGTTCACAGCACTGCTTGAAAAAGAAGATGTGGTTGTGTGGAAGATCAGATAGACCTTGTTGCTGTAAATGTGGTATGCTGGCAGGGCAGATTTGCTGCTTGTTTGTTTCTTTCTTATATGGTGGCAACGGCATGTTCCTTCATTTACACACTTCTCACTTTTATTTTGGTAATGTTTGCATTTATGTTGCAGTTTAGTTGTTGTGGAGTTCTAGGCGTGTAAATATATTGTCCCCTTCTCATAGTCTTGAGACGTGAAAAAATGGAGAGAGATAAAAAGTCAGATAAACTGAAAAATTATAGACCTTGAGAATTTTGAGTGTCATCATTTTGGCCTCAAGCCCATGGATCCAGATGCTGCTTGATGCATGGCATCCTTGATCTACCTGCTTCCTTCACTTGCAGCTGCCTTACAATCTGCAGCCAGCCAGACTCTGCTTGTCTGGCCCCTCTTGCTGTTGAGCAAAGCCACTGCATGTGCTCCAGCACACAAGTCCTAGCATGCTCCTGAACTACCCTCCCACTGCCACAGAATTTGCAAGTATGTCCAAGTGCTGTCCGTTTGTCCACCTGTACAACAAAGATGGATGCAGAATTGTTGCTGCTGTTTAACAGTGGGTGAATTTATTTTTACTGCTAAGTATATGCATGAGGTGCTGTGCTTCCCTGTTTGCAGGGGGATGGGCACTGGGTCCTCTGAGGGTGGCTGAAGCTTCACAGCCCTCTGGCACAGAAATAGAGGAGGGTAGGCTTTTCTTTCAGTAGGCTGGAGCACATGTGCCAAGATATCATGGTGATCGTTTCTTTGAATTTCTTCTAGATTTTTTTATATATAATCATTTAATGTATTTTAATATATAATAATGCATAAAAATACTTTGCAGAATATGAGCAGGGGTTTAAAAGTAGAAAGTAATAACTTTGGATTAATGTTTTAGCATATAAGCACTTTTAGTAAAAATTAAGAGCTGAGTTATATCCAAACTGCAAGATTGGGTTGTTAGGAAAGGCTTTCTAGCTTTTCGATACTGCCTTACATTCATTGTGTATCAGCATGCAATCAAATGTTAGGTTCTCTACCACCTGTAATAATAAAGGAAGCAGTGAAAATTGGAATGCTAAAACCAAACCCATTGATCCAGAAAAACAGGCAAAACTATAAGCCGCTGTTTTTAATTTTGGGAGGCTGTATACACATGGGTAAAAGTAATTTTGGATTACTTTCAAATTGTATTCAAAATAAAGAATTAAAACTCGTAAGCAGGCAGGTGCGATTAAATTTTTCTATAAGAAGGGTCCATGAGCATCTGCCTCTTGCACCTGCTGACTCAGCTACTCAGTATTGAAAGACTCACTAACTACTGAATGGGTTTCTTGTAATTTAGTTACTTATATTGCTGACTTTATAATCAACATCCATTTCTTTTGTGTCTTCATCAGAATTTCTACCTGGCAAACAAAGGGAAGAATGAAAGCAAAGAAATGAATGATAAAAACAAAGAGGCTTTACTGGAGGTAAGTTAATTTATTAGGTTGATGATGCAAATGTCACCGAAATCCTGCCACCATCTTCATCTGCTCTGCAATAACAGCATTTAGTTCTTTGTGGGCAAGTGTGTAATAATAGAGAGTTCTGTGTTCATTGGCATCTTTGTATCTCGAGTTTAATAGGTAAATTTTCCTCTGCATCTGCTGCCCCTCATTGAAAATGCAGATTGTGCACCCTTAGGCCAGCCCTTGGGACCTTTTATGGTTATTAAGGTTGACCAGTACCAAGCAATTATCTTTTGGGTTAGAAGTAGATGTCCTTCTGTAATTATTAGCTGTACTATAACAGAAAAAGAACCTTTTCACTTTTCCAGAAAGTCTGTTTAACCTCTTGCCTTTCCTGCTTAAGTTTGCTTCAGTGGCATGCCTGCGAAAAACCCAGAGCTATCTGAAAGAAAATATTGTCACAGTTCTCTAAGCAAGCATTTTGAGTTTAGTAAAAGTTCAGTAAGGAAATGCTTTTTCTCAGGTGACTGAGGACTCACATTTCAAAATTAGATTTCATGAAGGCGTCAGATGTCACCCAGCAAAAGTCCTGGTGAATTCTAAATGCCAACTTTAAGTGATAAGTGTGTTGGCATTAAAAATTACCCAATAGTAATTTTATATATTTTTATAATAGTAATTACCAATAGGTCCTTCAAGCAAACAGTGTATTTGTTTAAACAGTGTTGTAAGTGCTAGCAGATATTTAAAGGTGAAAGCAGAGACTGAGAAGGAGTTTTTCTGTGGCTGTTCTTAAAGCTCTGAGGAGTCTCTAAAGAATCTCTCTGCAGAAGTATTTCTCTACATAACCTATAAATACAGCAGTAGAGAAAAAAACGCAGCAACAGGACCAACCATTTTGTTCTATTGCCTTCACTGAGCATATCTATGTCTAGTTAAAGCCTCTTGTAGGTTTTTGCTTGACCTGTTAGGGAATGGAGGTTTTGAAAGCCTTCTTTTTCAGTGTGAGCACCCAACTTGGATGGCGGAGTTACCACATTATCTTGGAAAAGTTTCCTTTGCCTGTCTAAGGTGTTCATCTCCTGCATTCCCTATATTCATATGTTCATTGTCACAGGAAATATCTTTGTTTTTCAAGGAAGCATTTTTCTGCTATTTATTAATAGGATTGTGCTTAAATTGATTTATTTTGTGCATTGTTGTTCTTGTTGCACAGGAAAGCTTCTGTGGGACATCTGTCATTGTGCCAGAGCTTGAAGGGGCCCTTTATTTAAAAGAAGATGGAAAAAAGTCCTGGAAGAGGCGTTATTTTCTTCTACGAGCTTCTGGAATTTATTATGTACCCAAAGGAAAAACCAAGGTCAGGAAGCCAAATAATCCTCTTAGCAATAAAACAATTCATGGAGGTGAAAGTGTAAAACTCCCAAGGTGACGTTTTAAGAGCACTGTTTGGTGCATCTGAGAGGGTTGGGATTTTTATGGTTCATCTTTGACTACACGACTTGTGCAAATACTAGAATGTAGTCACTGAATCCTGTCATGTTTCTCTCCTTTTGATTTCTAGAGATAGATAAAAGCATTAAGGGAATAGCACTGCTGCGGAAGTCAGTGGGGGAAAGAAAACAGCAAAGCTCCTATCAGCTGGTGTTATGTTGCCAAAATGCTTCACTGTTATATGGGTTCCCTGCGAAAGAGTATTTCAAAAAGTTGTCAAGTAAACTTATTTCTTACCACAAAAAAGGTAGAATTTTACTTTGATATTTTCTGCACCAGTAACCAGCGTGCAGAAATGCTATACTTTTCTTCCTACAGCAATCTGTACCTAGAGAATGTGTTGTGCCTTTTAAGGCTTTTTAAAACTGCCTTCTGTGTAGAAAGAAGTGAGACAGAAGTATCTACCTGTCTGAATCAAATGCGCTGACATTTAGTATTGCAAAATATTTAGAGTCTGAATTGCCAGTACTAAAGAAGCGAAGGGTCCTGAACGTGTTGCACTTAAGGGTGGCTGGCTTTTCATTTCCACAGTGATGAGATAGAATGGTGGATTCTGGGACAGATGGTATTTTATATTTTTTTTTGTATTCTGAAAACAACTTCTATTACCACTTACAGCTCTGCTAGTGCTTCGTATTTGGAAATTTTGGTGAAACTTTACTGTTAGGATTTGTGCTTTAAAACTTAACTGTTCTGCTATTTCCTGACTCAATTACAAAGGAAAAAAATTATATCTTGTAAAGGAATGCTGTTCTGCTGCTCCGGTGACCTGTGTTTATAACTAAATCACAGTGAAACACAGGTTACCTTGCTGCTTTCACATCTATTTACTTTGACTTGGTCTGACCCTGAGATAACAGCTTTCACTCCTCAAATCATGCTGCACACACAGCATCCTATTGATTAGGATCTGGAATGCTATTTGGAAGGCACTTAAGGTGGAAAAAGTGTAAGAATAGTCCAATGCAGAGTCCATCTTGGACATTTCCTCGTAGCATGCCTCCAATGATGACCAGTAGTACAATGCCAAGACAGGGCAAGCATGTTGTGAAAGTTACTCAGCCTTTTTTCATCATCCAGTGATACCCGTCTTAGTGACTTTTCATCATAATGCAAATGAGGAAAATGTGGGGGGGTTTTCAGGTGATAGCCTGCAAACATAGGGTCCACGTAGTCACCTTGTAACTCTGTTTAACACTTTATTGCCTTGTAGTTGTTACAGCCTATGTAACAGCCTGTGTATCACCCTGCTTATAATTGAGCCATTTTTAGGAGCAGTGTGAGTGCTTTAAAATCACTATATTACCGACTCAGCCACTCACAGGGATTGAGCACCTTGAATTTAGTTTCTTTGGTAGATAGTCACAGCTCTTTCAGATAGTACCAGTCAGCTGTTTGCTCCTGCATCTGTAACAGCCTAGAGGAAAAGGATGCATATCCATGTCTTAGCCATTCCAGAGGAAGTCAAATCTCTGAGCTCAAATTTGTGGTTCGTGGTTATCTTAGTTACTGCACTCTGTATTGGAACAGCTGAGGCTCAGGTACACACATCTGTTGTGGAGACAGTAATCTGTGGTAGATGAGTGGAGTGCAGTGAGGGTGTTAAACATCTTAAAGCAATACAGCAGAATTCTGTAGAGCTCTTCAGTCAAAGCCCTTAAATTGTGAGAGTTCATCTCGTGTCAGGATGGCGTGAAGAGTGCACATGCACCTTGCTCATCATTCAGTTGTGGGTAGAGTGATCTTTCTTTGAGGTACAGAAACAAAGAATTAGCATACAATAGTATCTTCAGCTGCTGCAGCTGTTTTAAATTCATTGTATATTCATGTTATCACTTGTTACAAGAGAGAAAGAAGTCTGGCATACCTTTGGCACTTTGTGTTGGCTGTAAAATACATGGTGAACATGAAAATACAGGGACATGTTCACGTAATTTTACACGCATGCCTGTGGTGGTTTTTGTTGTTTTGGGATTTTTGTTAACAAACCAGCACCAGTCAACACTGCTGTCTTAATTTCTTTCTTCAGCATTGCTCTACTTATGCCCTATTCCAAAACAGGCTGTTAATTGACAGGGTCACAAAACAACAGCATCAGAATAGCAGATACAGTTTAAAAGTTGCTTTGTCATGTTAACATTGCACAAATACTGACAATAAGTGCCTTAGTCCCTTGCATAAAAATATGTTCCTTACTCCAAGAAAATATCAGTTACATTCATATTGATCCTAGTCACCACTGTCTGGTACCTAAGGGAAAAGAAAAACTCGTTATATACTGAATGGATTTGAGCACATTCTGGAACCTAGGTCCACACAGTCACTGATAAAATTTCTGGCATCAGCTGCAGCAGAGAAAGGGGAGAGGGAGAAGGCCTGTCTACATACAGTGTGGAGTGTTTCCTCTCCCCACAAATCTTAGTTGCAAACTCATTTTGTAGATAAAGCCAACTCAAGGGTGTATTGTAATGAAAGTATCAATGAGAACAGCATAGAAGAACCAATTATGCAGAAATATAACCTTATTCTTAGGGGTAGAGGGGGTTTGTGGTTTGTTGTTTTCTTTTTTTTCCCCCTACAATTTCCTGATTTAGCCAACACTGACCATGTGACATGGCTATTTTTGCATTTCCACCCAGGACTGCTAAAGTTATGCTTTGTATGCAAAACTCTTCACTGAGAAATATACCAGCAGAAGAAACCTTGTTATTTTAGCAATATATTGTGAACAATACTATGATAAACAGAAAAGGAATGATGCCAGGAAATTCAAGAAAACTCAGAGCAAAACAGATGAAATGTGTGCATATGTCCTGATGAGAGTTTGTGTGTTACATAGAGAAAAGAAAAACAAGCTCTTGAAGAAATTTAGAACCTCAAACCTTCTTTCTCTACTTAGAATTGTAACAGTGTGGTTTCTTACTATGGTATTCTCTTTGGTCTTATTATCCATAAGAAAAAAAATCTCCAGACAAAGCAACGAAGCACAGCAAAACCAGAACAAGAGCGAACTGTTGCACTGTGTTATATATTATCTGTAATATGTACTTATCCTCTTCCACTTGTTAGTTTAAGAATGCACACACTTTAAATTAGTCTTTTTTTTTTTTTCAGTCAGCCTCATGACAGTTACAGGAACAATACACATTGGCATTCATGCACTTTAAAAAGGTCCTATTAATGAGTTTCACATCAAAATTCAGTTTGATCTAACAGTGATGTGCTTGCTTTTCATTTGTAGACATCACGGGATCTGGCATGCTTCCTTCAGTTTGAGAATGTGAATGTGTATTACGGTTATCAACACAAAGTGAAATACAAGGCGCCTACAGACCACTGCTTTGTCTTAAAGGTAATGTACAGGAAAAATAAGTTCTGCAAATGTCACACATTTTCTTTTATATGTAAACATGTTTAAATTTGAAGCTCCGGGGACCCTGATGAGATAAAAAGCTCCTGCAACATCATGTGTAATTTCTTCTTTGCTTCATTATTGATCGGCAACATACATTTAGAACCTTAATTTTATTACTGATAGTTTTATGATATGTGTCTACACTGTATCTATAAAGTCTTCAAAACAGGAGCGAATATGCTGACTGTTCAGGTGACTGGACACATTTGGACAAATGGCACACAGGGCAGATGTATGATGAGACTGCCAGTCCCTAATGTTGATGTTATGAGCACCATGGATTAGATACTAAAAAGTATGTCTACTTTTTTTGCAGCATAGTCATACCTGTTGAGGGTTTGTTGAACTGAGACACAAAATCTTGCGGGAATAGACCTCTCGTTTGTCATATTTTATTGCACAACTATTTGTGGCAGGAGGGCAAAATACATTGTTCATCCACTCATGAAAATCAATGCTTGCTATTGAGTGAGTATCTCACTGCTGCCTTTCCAGGTAGTAGCACTGCAAGTAGGCTGGGAATTCTGCATTCCTCTCAGAAAAGGAAAAGAAGCCTATGCTTTTCACTTAAATCAGAAAGAAATGAAGCTTTGAGGTTGCAGTAATTGGGCCTTGCTTGCTATTTTAGAATACAGTGGGATTACTGTGTACAAGGCAGAAGATTTGTTGCTGCTTTTCTTTTTAAAGACCTGCAGTGCAAACAAAGTATTAGAAAACACAGTATCTTGCTATCTCAGAAGAAAAAAGTAAAGGAAACATTCACATCAGAGGTCACTTACAATACCACATTTCTGGCTGTAGCTACATACTTACAGCACTTTTTTTATTCTGTTCCAAAATGTCTGCTAGCCTAATTTACATATGGCCAAGCAGAAGTGGTTTATAGATACATACATATTTTCTGAAACAGATGTATCTAATTAACACAGATGAGCAGTTTTAATACTATAGTCCTCCACAAAATGCTCTGCAAGAAGCATTTTATCCTTTCTTGTAAAATAGGGGCAAGCCTTCTGAAGTTAACAGGTAAGTATTTCTTCTGAAAAATACAACCTCTAATGAAAAAAAGGAAAAGGGGAGCTAATGTAAAAAATAAGGGGAAATTGATTTTCTAAACAGATGACTGGTCAAGGAAGTATCTGACTAATTTAATGACAGTTATTCACATTCTGTTCAGATGAGAATAAAAGCATGATTTTTGAATGCATGTAGCAATGTGTTTAACGGTTCACAATAATTACCGCCATCTTCTGTGAAAAGAGGTATGTTATTTTCACTAACAATAAGGCACAGCTCAACTAAAATACTTCCCTTATTTCATGTGTGATGTAAGTGCTATACCCTTAATGTGAAATGAGAAGAACAAGATTAAAAGCTCACTAGGGAAGGCTTATAAATGTATGAAACCTACTTAGCAAGACTGTTTGCTCTGATGCTTCTAAAATGCGTTTGCAGTAAACATCATATTGATCTGATCATTATTTTTGAGCAACACGACTTGGTGATGAGTAGATTATTTTACGGTGATTGTTCTTCATTTTAATTCCTACAAATCATCATTTGGTAAATTCCTCATGGGCTCAGTTTCAATCTTGGCTTCTTTTAATGATTGTCGCTTGCAGTGGTTGGAGTTGGTCAGGAAGTATGGGCAAGTACTGATATCTTCAAATCTTCTGTTATTTCAGAAGTGGAAGTCTCTCACTTAGGGTGGCTTTCTGACGGTGGTACAATGGAGAGTTTAATATTTATTATAATTTCTGTATATTAATTTGAATTCTACGTATACCTTTTTGAAGGCATGCTGCTGCAGTGAGTTCTGTCATATCCTTCTCTTACTTTTGGAGGTTGGAGCTGAGGATGTCAAACATCTTGAGATCTGTGGGCTGAGGGAAAGAGCAAAGTTAAAAGTCGGTCTCTCTGATTGGATGCTTGGTGACACAAAAGTGTATGGACAGTGACATAGAGCCATCTGTCACACTTAGTCACATTTTGTTCCTGTCTGTTTTTATATGGAAGTCTCCCAGAAGAAAATATCTCTCTTGTTGGGAGAAACTTGTCCTGACATGTCAAAGGAAAACAAACCATCATCCTTGATGATTTCTCATCCTGCCATATTTTGAGAATGAAGTCCTCAAGATGAAATGACAGCACTTTTGCAGACAGGTGCAGTGAGCAACAGGTAATGGATTTAACGGGTAGACATTTGTCTTTATTATACTGGTAACCTAGAAATTTTGAAGGAATTTGGATGCCCAGTTTAGTCCAAGCCATTTGGAAATTTCTCCACAGCCAAGGCTTTGCTGTGTCTTCACAGCTCTTCCATTCCCTCGTGTGTCCCTCGGGACAGTGGGATTTGTGGAGGTTCTCTTCTGGTTAGTTGCTTATGTTGGCTGCAGGATAAGATTATCTGTTTTACAACAAATGGGGGAAAGTAACTGAGAGAGTAGCAGCCATAGCCCATGCTAACTGTTCACTGAGGTGGCTGTAAATCAAAGGAAATTTTCACATTTGGGGAAAAATTTTAGTCTGCAGCCCTTATTAGCTCCAGCAAGCTGTAATGCCACTTGGAATGTTTTTGAATAATAGCATACCACTGCATTTTTTTAAAGAATTGTTACTTTCTGAGGACCCTCTTAGGAACTGCTGTGTCAAAACAGTGAGCACTCATCAGCAAAGTTACTTGCTCTGCTGTCTCAAATGTAACAAAAGAAACTGCCCAGCTCACAGGCAAGAGACCAGATTATATTTTGTGGTGCAGGAGAAACGCAAGGGTGTAGCAGCTTCAGCAGTACCTTGCTTCTGTGCTAGGCAGAATATCCTACTGAATTCAGAACCAGACATAATTTCCCAACCTTGAGCATTGAGTTGAAAAAAATACTGTATTTATTTCTGACCGGTTAAGCTAATTGGCATCCTTACTTCAAGAACAGGGAAATGCCCTTTGTTCATTGAAATGGCAGCAAGTGGCCAGTGAGTGGTCTGGCTTGCAGTTGAATATGGCCTCATGCTTGAAGGAAACATCCTTGCTTTTCTTCCAGTCCCCATTTGTATGATGAGCCTTCTACACAAATAACTAGGCTAAAAACAGTAACATTTGTTCCTGCCTTTGAAGGTCTTGTCTCATATTAGCAGGGAGAAAAGATAAAACATTTTCTTTTGCTGCCCCTCAACCTTGGTCATCTTTATATCTTTACGATGTGTCTTTAAGGAGGGAAGAGCACTCAAGAAATATTACAAGAATGAGCAGAATGAGAATGCATTTTTGTGTCTGTGTGCCAGGCATTGCCAAGAACTTAAAGGAAAGAGGAGCACTATAACTAATGTTAATCTCAACACTAGTGACTTGGTTTTAGTTAGAACAATCCAATTTCTCAGGTTGTCTGACACAGACATGAACAATATGGGTGTTGCCTCAAAGTCTTCATGACTCTGAACATTTGAATTTTCTTTGAATGTTGATCCACCCTGAATCTCTCTAAATGGGATGTGGGCTTTTTCTCCAGTTCTTTCTCCTAGGCTCCAGTGAGGTGTGGTGCTTGCAGAGACAGTGAGTCTTTAGTCCTAGTTCCTGTCCCAGCTAACATGCATCAAATCCCCAGGAGCAATAGCTCCCACTTGTCCTGTTTCTTCTTTAATCTAGCCATTTCAACTTCAGTGATCATACCTGGGTTACTTAGCTGATCCTGGCTTGGGTACTGGTATTAGTGTAGCAACAGCAAGATCATGCACATCATGGGCAGGTTGCTTTGATACTTAGCCTGAAGCTGGGGTGGGTTTTGCAGTCTGTGATTTTGAAGCTGCACCTAGACTATCTCAAATATAAGTATTCTTGTCTGCAGATCCACCCTGTAGGATGTTCCTCTTACAGCTAGAGAAGCATAATGTGTTGTGGATGCTCCTTTCCTATAATTTCTTCCCATTATGTCAGCACTGCACTGTATCTACTACAGTTTACAACAAAAATGGGGTGTTTTTTGCTTCTTTGTTAACCATCAAGACACTGAGGACATAATGGGCAAAAGGGTGGTGTGCCAGAAACTATTTAAAAGCACATCACAGTGTTTACTAGCAAAAGAGAGAGCACTTTGCTGAGCTTATTGAGGAGTTTCCTATCAGGATGATTCAGGACACAACTGCAGTAACGGAACAAAGCAGCTACTTCCTCATATCAGCTACTCTCAGGCAGCAGAAAGCCCAGCTGGGACCAACCGCAAAGGCCACAGCTGGTAGTTGGTGACTGAGAGCAGGATCACCTGTAGCTGTCCCTGGCAGCAGCCCAGAACCAACATGGCTGGGTCCTGAGGATGAGAGTGCACCCTGGCACAGATGCGCCAGTGGACCTGGCTTTCAGGAATTCTTAGGCCTTGGGGCAACTATAAAACTTGAAGAACTGTTTTATTTCCCAGTGGCTCCTGATCTGCACTGAGCTCTAACCTTCTTAAATGCAGTTGTTCTATACCACTGCTAAACAGGCCTTCCTCCCTCAAGGGAAGTCCCACATTTAAAAAACAACACAAAGAACCCTGAGCATATTAAAAATAGAGCCTCTGAATAAAATAAATACTTCCGAGACATCTGCTTCTCTAAACATGCAGATTCTTCCTATTTTCTACTCGGCCTAAATGTAATGCTTACATAAATTTCAAGATCACACCCTTTACTTTGACATCGGATAAAGCAAGTCTTTTCTTAACAGAGATCTCCATATGCAGAAAAGAAGAAAGGAAAGGGCAGCTAAGTGTGAAAGAAGACCCTCACTCAAACCTGCATCTGTCAAGGTCAGATCTGTCCCTCTGTTCCCAGCACAGTAGGCAGGAGAAGGTCACAGCACAGCTCTCCCTGCCACCCTGTGGAGAGTGCTGGTCACTCCTGGGAGAGGAACAGTGAGGGAACAAAAATCTCTCCTTCACAGAAAAAACAATTTCACACACCTCACA